AAGAAGAAATAAATTTAGGGCTTTTCTTGTAAATTCTATAACTCTGCAAAGAAAGGTCATGCAGAGCTGGGAGAGGTCTCATTTTAATCAGAAATTTGGGGGCTACAATCAGGCCTTATTAAGAAAGGCTTCTGTTACTTTTTAGAGTTTCTGAAAAACTGGTTTTCTAGAAATCCGGTCTGAGGTGGGCTATGGGCCCAAACGATTGGCATATTCGGATTCAGTGCACTTGATTACCTATTGTCCACTACCTTACGGCTCAAAAGCGATTTATCAGTTGGTGTCCTTCCCTCGTTAGATGTACACCAATGTAATCGTTCGACCATCGAACAGTTCCCTCATACAAACGTGTGCGGCCGGAAAACTTGATGAGATCGACCATGTTCGGATACTTTATGCAAGATACGTTCAGATTAAGGCTGCAACTTTCTGTCTACTTTATTTGTACAGTGAGGTAAAGCATTTTTGCATGAAACCAAAGTATAAATCAATCTGCCACAGAGGCCCTGTTAGTAATGTGTGCTTTACTTAGAGAGTAAATAAGATATAAGGGATTACTCAATAGTATATCTACGTTATAAGACGTTGGTTCATTCAGTCATTCAAAAGCTTTGTGATTTCCTAAAAGAAGTGATGAGCGCTAAAAGGCATTTAGCACTTCTGCGAAGGAGAAAAATCATTTTTGCAATCAATCAGGAAACACTTTCGGTAGCATCACTTTTCTTAGGTCGAACACGTTAACCGGGCACTGCCAATCAAACGAACCTGAGCTCGGGATTATTGCATACCTCTATTTGAAATTATTCTATTGAATATGATACTTGAGATTTTTATTGATTTGATTTTAATTTTAACAATTGTTATTTTAAAATGGTAGAGTCGCTATGGAATTATTTGTATACATTGACTAAGAGAAGAAAAACAATGAAGAATTAGTTTAGTCAAAATCTGGAGTGAGTATATTTGCAGAGCAACATAAGAGAGTGTGTCCTTAAATATGTATGCGAATTTAGTACCAATTTATTCCAACGTTGTTTAGCAGGGTGGTTTTTTCACATTCGCCCCAAAATAGCCACTATTTATAATATTTCCGGCCGGATAATAATTTGCCACCACATAGGCTTGTTGCTGATTCGATGTCAATGCAATACCAATGCCCATTATCTTAGTTCCTTGCCAAACTAGCAAATAGAACGAAAGACTAATAGGTAGGTGTTGGTTATGATATTATGGACTTTAAACCTACCCAATTGTGTAAAATGTCCAGTAGCAGATGAGAAACCCGGGTTTGTCCAATTATACGAGCTAATTTCATTGTACCAGGAATTACACGGTGACGATCCTTTTTTTAGAAAAAAATCGGAATATCTTAATACTCAATAAGGAAATGAAAATTATACTCCTTACCATTAAGCGTGTTTGGGTTTATGATACCTGATGACCACAAAGCCCACAAATTTTCACCCAAAGCTTCACCGTTTAATGTATTTCCACTATGTTGAAATATCTCATTCGTAGCTAAAAATGTCGCATAGTTTTGAGCAATGCTGTTTAGGGTTGCATTCAATGTCAAAACTGGCGCACATTGTAATGCCCGATCGTAATTTGTTTGTGTTAATGCTTGCTTCTGGAATGTTGTTGCCATCATCGGCTGTATTTCAAAAATTCAGTAAAAACAACATCGTAATATTATCGGTTTCAATGTTACGTTTCTATCCGTGAGTATTGAAGTCTTTTAGAATTCACCAGTTACTAACAATATTAAAGAAATAGAGGAAATACAGACTTAAACACCTTTATTCGAATTTCTTAGGTTTCATCATATCCAAATGGCTTTCATCGGTTCATACTGTATATTCAGAGATGTCTCAATCGATCGATGCCTCTTTTTTAAGCTCGTTTCAATGATTCATCTCCCATATGGTCGGGAATGTCGCGAGGTACACGAAACATGGAGGGGGTCTCCACTTTCGGAGTAAATCGAAAAATCTTAAAAAATCAGAGTAAATATCTGATTTGTCTAAAAATACGCAAGTTCTGACATACAAAACGCCAGACACAACTTCTTTAAATTTAAGAGTAAAGCGTACTGATCCATCGCCATAACCCGAACAGTTGATTGAGTCTCAAACTTTGACTTTGGGTGTAAACTCAGAGGACAAAGCCAGTTTGATAATAAGAGTCAAGTGTTTATAGCGTGAGATTTGAGAAGTGAAAGAGAGTAAGAAGATTGCAAAGTTTTCAAAATGCGAGTTGCAACATACTTCTTCTCAACAACAAAAGAAAATATGTTGGTATTTACTCATAAACCGAGGGTATTTTATAACTAGTTAACAATGATTGTTTATTATGCAGCATCAAATCAGAAATCAAAGTCAGTTCTCTTCAGTTTCACATGCTGTTATTTTCATTAGCATGCACCAGATGGTGCTGATTGTAGATCTCAATTCCAGAGCAATAACTTCTCGGATTTGGGAGTAAAAGGTTCGCCTCAGTACTCCTGCTGTTACAGTGTCCGTGCATATGGGGAAAGGCAAAATACTGCTAACACATACTGTTGAAGCTGTTGATGTTGATGAAATCTAGAATAAGAGAGAAAAAGTGTTTACTTTTGAAATGAACACGTAGGAATACTAACGGTTGTAAAGGTAGTATATTTTCCTGTGATCGTACGGACCGTCGTTATAGTTTTTGTTATTGTTGAAGTTGCTCGTGTTGATGAAATCTAGAATAAGAGAGAAAACGTGTTTACTTTTGAAATAAATAAGTAGGAATACTAACGGTTGTAAAGGTAGTATATTTTCCTGTGGTTGTAGCGGTTGGTGTTATAGTTGTTATTATTGTTGAGGCTGGCAGCGCTGGACACACACCAGTATCGGCCAACGCTAACGGATAACAAATAGGTTGCACACATCTGGTCGTATTGACACAAACCGAATTTGCATTTGAACATGTATTGTTCAACCGACAATGAAGAAATGCAGAACATGACACAGCTGAATAACCACAAATACCACCACCTGTCGTCAGCGACAAACAATCGCAGTCTGAGTTTGTAGAACACGTTGTAGGGCGACCACATGCTGATGGAACACACGACGATGTTTGACCTATTTTCAGGTGGAGAGAAATTTTAATAAAAGAAATATTTTTAGTACAGATTTTAGCTAGATATTACCTGATACATTCGTAAATATTATTCTTTTATAAATAAAACACCCAAAATATAAATAGTTGCATAGAGAAGAGATCTGTTTTATACTTGCATCACAAAAAGGCAGAGAGCTAACATTTGTTTCATCATTATTGTTGTGGTTGTCGACTGCAACTTAGAAAATTACTCACTTATACTTTTCTGCTTCTCTTCAACCGTTTGTCGTGCTTAAATACTCGGTTGCAGATGTTATTTATTTTTTCGCTTACTTGAGAAGCATTTTTTTCAGTGTACATGTATTCTTGAAGTACCTTAATGGAACAGCTCAAAATTAATCGGATAAGTGTCACATTTTTCTGAAAATATGAAATACTAATGGACAGTGATGAAACATACTTATGTGTATCGGTTTAATTTGCCGTTACTATCCTGCGTTTGTGATAGTTACGATTTGTTTTCTTACATATCGCGTTTACATTCAACTCTCAAAATCTTTTTAAACAAAACTAACTCTCGTTTCACAAAATTTTATTTTATTATGTTTTAATCTCGTTGACTGATGTGAGAATAGAAAATCCAAAAAGTACAAGCCCTAAAAGCGGATCAAGGATCTATACACATGTGGTCACAGTAAAAAGAAAACAAACACTTGACTGTTATTCAACAGATTCGACTGCTATCACTTACTAATACAAGAGAAAAAAATGTGAAAAGAAAAAAGATGATCGAGAGGTGTTTATTGAAGAAGTTATTTTATTATTCTAACCAGTTGTCAGGTAAAATGAGGACATGAACTGTTATTTTACTGCACGACTGTATCTACTTTTTGCCTTTAGACACCTACTGGTCGTTATACCATAACCTCTTATCCTCACAGCTTCCTTTTGTGTATAGGAATAGCATTTATCACAACGTATAAATAATGTAGTAGTTGTTTCGGGTATCATTCTCGAAGGTAGACCTTCGTTTAAGAAGGTTCAATACAGCCTCAGAAAATAAAAAACCCTTTTCAGTTTTTTGTCGAGTCTAAAATACCAGGTAAAAAACTCTTCAGTATTTAGGAAATAAAAAGTTTTTGGCATAAAAAACCGAAAAGCGTTTTTTAAAAGGTTTATTGGTCTCAATAAATCCTTTTTGATAGTTTATTAATCTACGACTATTTTTTAGATTGATATAAATAGACAAATTCAGCTTATTTGATGTTTACCTGAAATTGTTTTAAAAACGACTTCTTTAAACTACAGTGGCGTAAAAAACCCGGAAACGACAGAAAGTCATGTAGAATAAGATGCAAATGTTCATTTCAACTGAATCGTTCTCAAAATACTGGAATGATATTTATTCGAGTTCCTATGCTAAACAGTAAGAAAAAGAAACTCACCACTGGTTGGTTCATCTAAAACGATAATCATCGGCGAAAAAACCAATTCCATTCCAATACTCGTTCGTTAACGTTCGCCTCCAGGTAATCCCCTAGTAAATCCTGTTCCTACTGGTGAATCAGCACATTCATTTAGCTCTAACTGACATATGACCCGATTAATAATATTTTGTTTCTCTTCTTGTGTTTGGATTCATTCATCCATGACATCCACAGTTTTACGGACGTGACAGAAGAAATATGGTGAATAGTGAGGCAATAAGTACTCTCCACTCGATGGATATCCCCTTAGTAAATTTGATGAACGAATATTAGCTAAAAATGTTAAATTTTCACGTACAGTTAAAGTGCCATAGATAATATTATCTTGCACAACATAATAAACACAATGAGCCTATTTTTGAGGATTTGGCTGATTTAGCGTAAGGATTTTATCTCATGTATACTTATGGTATAAGCTCTGCATTAGCAGAAAGAGAAGAAAAGAGAGAATAGCTTTACGTCGCTCTGGCCAGCCAACTCTGCTACCGGAGTGAAATTCCGTAACGATTTTTTTGCATTTTGTTTTTCTTATAATGTTTGAGTAACGAGACGCCTAGAGATCCAGAATATCACAGATTAAAGAGAAAAGTATGCTAAAGATTCTGAGATGTTCCTACAGTCTACACATCCTTTCATTCAGAAACTATGAGAAAAATACAAACACCTACTTTTTCGGTTAAGTTTTGGAAAGTAGGTGTTTGTATTTTTCTCATAGTTTCTGAATGAAAGAATGTGTAGACTG